TACAAGTTTGTAAAAACTTAGACCTACCAAATTATCTAATTCATGGTTTTGGAAAAAAAAGTCTCTAAAAAAACAAAGAGACAAGTAAAACTGTTACATGCTAAATAATTATGCATGCATGCATTTTCTTTTTGAAAAAGGGAATGGAAATCACTGATAATGTTTGTTGAAATTTTGCATGCAACCCTTTATCATTTTTAATATTTTTTGGAGGAAAAAAAAACCAACTAATTCTCCCTATAAAAGCAATGATAAACTTCATCTACATTCTCAAAAGAAAAATCTAAATTTCAATCTATGCTTCATATAAAAAAAATCAAACACATAAAACATTGGATAAGTTGTACAAGGATCTACACTCAGCAATTAATCATCTGCTATTTCATAGGTATGATCTTTCTGTTAATTTTGTTCAGTAAAATCATTTTCACATCTAAAGATCTGCATGTGTTTCTATAACTCAGCACAATTTGTATTTGTTATATACAGTTCAATTTTATGCAAAGAATATTCAATGTACAGTTCGAATTTGCATGATGTGAAATATTATATATCCACAAGTATATAGTTTGATTTTGCTTGATATGTGCTTAAGTTATATGATGTCTTTAAACTTGATTATAATAATTATAGAGTAATTAAATTTAATCACTTAGAGAGCACAATGGTTAACAAAATATATGAAATAGATATTTTTATATGTTGCATGCATAATTATCATTGGTAATAGCATATTAAACATCAACTTAATGCATGCATTATGGAATTTATATGCTCAAATCCTTCTAGATTTAATATAAATATTCTACACAATTAGAAGTTTAAACAAGTTACCCTACAATTATTAGGAATATGATAATTAGAGAAGAGGTTTAATTTTTCAGTTTAGCCTCTGTAATTGCTTCATATATATTCCTATAACTTGAGAATTTATCTTTTAAAATATAATAAAGTTCATTGATTTAGCATTCTCATGTATGGCTTATTTATTTGCAGCTTACTATATTTTGTGTGAACATTCAAGTGTTGAAAATGCATGATCTATAAGTTAAAAAACTAGAAGCTTAAACATTCAAGTGTGTGTATGTGTGTGTGTGTGTGTGTATATATATATATATATATATATATATATATATATATATATATATATATATATATTCCTAACAATAAGTTAATAAATCTCTTTAAATCATTCCAATTTTTCCATATCCAACTCAACTTTACAAAAACTAAAAGTTATCATTCATTTCAAAAATATACAATAACGAAATAAAGCTTTAATTGAGAAATCCGATAATGCAATGAATAATAATATTTCTTTTCTGAAATGATTATTGTTTGTATAGTTAAAATATCAACAGAACTAATGTGACATGCATGGAATTTATATTATCCTCTGTTTTTTAAAAAGGGTCAATGAAAAACATGTAATTAATCACCCTTTTCCTCTGCAATCACTTCATTTTTCAAACTAAGATAACAGAAATTTGTTATATGCATATTATTAGTAATAGCCTAAATACGATTAACTCTAATGAAGTTTCAAATATAACATGCAGCAAACGTTTTCATGGTGCCTCATCGTAAATTTCTAGACGAAATTGATTCAACAACAAAAAAATGTTAAGATAAAAGTTAGAGTTGCAGAAAAAGGCCGTCCTCAAACATCAGAAAAAAAAAATACACGATATCAGTGTATGTTTTTAGATGATGACAAGGTACACAAATATAATCTGAAAAACATTCAGAGATTTAATATTTGATTTGCAAAGTTTAACTTATAATCAAGATAATTGTTTGAAATTTGTCTTTTCACAGAAAAACCGAATGAAGATGACTCTTTTTGGTGATCAAATTTCAGCATACTGGGATGTTATTAATTACAAAGGTAATTATGAAATAGTTTATGCTTTAGTCAGGCCCCTGAATGCGCAGTGGAGAGCTAGAGAAGCTGATCTTCCATATCATTTGTCACTAGGAGGGAAAACTGTCATTCGATCTTTAGATCCTATTGGAGAATTAGTTTATCCTAGATATCAAACACTTGCTTCTATTCTAAGCATTCCTGTTGATGATGAAAGACATGGTAATTAAATCATATGGACTACATATAAATCCATTATATTATAAAGTGTATATTTTCACTGTTAATTTTTTTAGAGTTACAGATATTCTTGTGATAGTTCTCTATGCTTCACCGAGCCAAAGAAAATTGTGACATCATTTAACAGAGAATCAACAGTTCGAGAACTCATTGTAATAGATCATAGGTAATTGTTTGTGCTGTCTAGCAAATGTCTAAGCATTTATTATTTTTCATGTTATATCAATACAATATATTAATATTGTGAATCTTTTAATTTCAGTACTAATCAACCAATGAAAGTTTGCACTTGGAATGATCTTGCCGGGGAACAATCAGATGCAGCTGTCTCAAATAGTGAACCTTTTAAAGTAATCGGTATCACAACCTTACGTCCTCTAACTCAACAAGGTTAGACAATAACTTGGATCACACTTTGATTTCCAACTTAAAAATGTAAAATTAATAATCACAGAAAAAAATGTTGATAACCTTCAAATTTTAGGATTTGTACTTGAATCAACTATGTCAACTTTTATCATGAAAAAACTTGAAGGCGACAAAGCAGAAGCATTAGTTGAATGGTAAGGTGTTATAGAATTGAAATTATGAAATATTTCACATATTAGGCTACAAATGTCTGAAATATAAATTCTATGAGTCGAAAGAAGCACAAATTATAATTTCTGTTGTAAGTGGAAAGCACAATTTGATGATAATACTCAATATTGTGTACAAATTTAATGATAAAATCTCTAACTGCTGACATTTTCTTCTCATAAACAAAAAATATGGCAAAGAAACATTGAACTACGCTGATCAATGAGCAAAATAGAATTAAGGCAGCCTACAATCCAACAGATGAAAAACTGTAACAACTATAGGCTGCCTAAAGGCGAGGAAGGTACATTCTTACACCATATCTGTAAAATGATTAGTAGCATCAGAATACATAACTGATATAGTTTTGGTAAATGTTTTACCATAAACACAACAGTAATAACCTTATTCAACATATATACAATGCAGTCAGCAGCTACACTTCCAAAGGAAGTATTTTGGTTGAATGTTGTTGCTACTAATATGGAATTTAAGAAATTGAGAGCGTACATAGGATGCTCCCATTGTAGCAAACGAACAGAACTTGCTCTTGGAACAGTTTATAGTTGAAAAGCATGCTCAAGAAAGGAAATTTATGCTGCTTATAAGTAAGAAATTCGGTAAGCAAGTTAGCTCATTAATCTTTCAAATGTTTATTCCGTCCAATTTGAAATTACATTAATTTTGTAATTTACAATGACCAGGACAACACTTACTTTTGATGTGTCTGGTGGCACTGGAACATTGGAGCTCACTGCCTACTTAGAAGTATGTGACAAGCTTTTCCGCATGCCAGTTAAGGACATATACGAAATGAAGATGATGGTATGTATACAATATAAAATATAAGAAGCATAACCTCGCTATTTAAAACTACCACCACTAAAAATTTCAAATGTGTATATTACTTAAACTTTATTTTGTATGTAATTAAGAACAACCTGACAGGTTCCTAGAGACAGCTCAAAATTTAGCATCAAAGCTTTTTCTGATCAAATTTGGACCAACAACTGCACTGTCAAAGAACAAGGTTTTGTAATGGGGGCTAAAGGGTGTACAATAAGTGGAGGATCCAGAATCAGCTATCAAAACACAGAACAGTTCAACAGGTGCTGAAGTGAATGACAAAAAGCAGCAATAATCACAAGCACAGAAGCTGTGAATGCTGAAGTGAATGATGAAAATCCAGTTCAGACGACAGAAAATGCAGATAACAAAGAAGCACCACAGAAAGATGATCTTGTTTTCTCGAGTCAAGGGGAAGAAAATGCTTCTGCTACTGATGAGAGTTTTGACACGGCAAATCAGAACACTCAAGATAGCGTTGGTGATCTCGGTTAAAAGATAAAGAGATTTGAAAATGAAGCCCAATCGAACATACACACACCAGTAAAATATGTGGACGAACTGGTGACCAGAAAAACCTCTACCAAATTAGCCATACACAAACCAAAGGAACAGGATCAAGCTCTTTCAAGTGCCCAAAAAGCCAAGGAAATCTGGTCTGAGGTGCAGGTTATTTCTGATTCAATTCTACGCATAATCAAGCAGGAGAAGGTCGACAAGCGAAGGTCACTCATATTTCAGGATGACGACGAGGACAATTTCTAAGAACATGAAACTACTCTCTGAACAGATCAAGCCAACATCATCTTCAACAAGTATCAGCCATGTATAAAATATATAATTTAAAGTACTAATATTTTGTAATGTGTGGCATTGAATAGGAACAAGTATACTACGATTACTTGTTCCTAACTAACACCACTTGTGAAGGTATTAACCTCAACTAGACACTTAAATATTTTGCAACCGGCTAGCAACTAGAATACTTTTGGATGTTAAAACTACTGTAATAGCTGTATAAAAAGCTATATATGTAAATAGGTAGCAGACTACAATATTAAGAAGTAGTTTAATGAAAATCAGCAGCTATATAAATATTGTTGTGCTTAAAAATGTAAACCATGTTTTCACTTATATAAAAATATATGTGCGGTTTATAGTATATCATTTTCCACTTGAAATATAAATAAATAAATGTATTATGTAGGTATTCAAATATGTGTAAGAGAAAAAAGTTGGATCCACCATAAACATTTCATGACCATTATTATAAGAAAAATAAAATACCTAACAACAAAAACACCTTGATCAGAATAATCATTCTATAGGTTTACATTACAACTAAATCAATATAAAAAACAATAGGTACTCCTTTCCTATATTTAATCAAAGCACCTACATCTACTTGAACATTATAGAAATCAATGAACTGACTAACACCATTTCTAATGGAACATTTACAGATTGCTCCCTACTTCTTTAAAACTTTCAGCTGCACATTGAACCGAGTATCAACAAGCTGAAGAATGACATTGGTAGTTTCAGGGAAATCAATGAAATGTCGTTTAGCAAAATCGAATGGAACATTCTGTCATTGAAAATAAAACACAAAATCAAATAATTATGCCAAGAGAAAGAAGAATAGAATGAAAAAAAAAAAACAAACTTGAAAGTAGTTAACAAAAATCATACTATAATTCCTTGATCAACATAAGCTTTGGTAAAAGTGAATAAGAAATGATGTTCATAACAAGCAGCTGCAAGCTTGGCAAGGCAAGCATTAGTTTCGATCATTTTAGATGAGAGCCTTTCAACAATAGCAGGTTTCCTCCCACGCTTTTTACTTGAAGTACCAGAACTTCCACCATATTCATTTTCCTCATCTCTCTTACCTCCTCTGGGTCTACGAATTTCAACATCAAATGAGCTATCCCCTAAATAAGTAAATATCAAAGCATCACCAACATTTACATCATTATCCTCTGCAAAATCAGACCACTCAGCTTCAAGATATGTTCCCCATCCACTACCACACTCTTCATGCACTAAAGTAACAAACCATGACTTGTCGTTACCATCCAACGACAACTCTATGTTTAAAAAACCATCGTCCATGACATCCCTGAAGCCATTCGGAATAAACTATTTAGAGGCACACAAAAAACATACACCACAATACAAGCACAAAATCAAAATCAAAATCCAAAAAATTAATCATCAACAAAAATGATTTAGATAGAACAAATTAGCAATAATAATACAACTACGATAAACCAAAACAAAAACAAGAATGCATACCAATTTTTCATGTTTCTCAATATCATTTTCATACAGAGTGGTAAACGAAAGAGAGATTCTGTCCTTGTGTAGAGACCTAAAAATGTCTCCCAAAATCCAAACCCGATGATGAACAACCTTTCACCGCCATTATTGGTCGAGTTGAGTATTTAATCTTGAAGTGCTTAAATCCATATTCAATCACAATAAATTTCATAAAAAAACAAATTCCTAGCCCATTTCCCCAAACCATGACTTATTTTCCTCTTTTCGTGCCTTTAAACCCAAAATAATTCATTTCGTGTCTTTTAAAATCATTCATTTCGTGTCCTTTATATAAAAACGTTTATTCCAGTATATTTTGGTCCATAATATGGGTCCATTGATTGAATAGTTGGATGGGGCTTGAAAAGAGATTTCCAACGATATATTGTAAGCCCAAATCCGAGTTATAACGAATAAGTTATGACCAAAATATTAAGTTGAGCCCAAACCGAACCTAAGCCCACCTTACCTACGACCCAATGATCATATGGAGGGTCCAAAAGCTTTAATCCCAATCCTAAACCAATTAGAATTAATTAGAAGCTTCTAAAAGTTTATAAAAGATCTTATTATCCTTTTTGAAAAGATAAGATTAAAGAGTTTGAAGTTGAATAAAACTTTTCGTTTTGAAAATCCTATTTCTATCCGAATTGAAAGACGTTCAAAGATAGACAGATATTATTTTCGTGCCTCATATTTTTTATCCAAATTTTATATGGCTGGATAGACCTTGAAAGTATCTTTCCAATGATATATTATACTATCAATTCCGAGCTATAACGGAAAAGATATGAATAAAATGTCAAACTCTATCCAAAACTGACACCGTCTCACTATTTCGGCCATATATTTTATTATATAAAATATTTTAATCTGATTCTAATTGGGTTAGAAAGTAAAATTCACGAGCTTTCCAACAATATCTTATTCATCTTATTTCGATTTCTCAAAGATATGATAAAAACAAAAACCGCAAAAACTGCTGTCTATCGAGTTTTATTCCGATTTAATTCGGATCTTATCTTGTTTTTTCGACCATTGTTTTTTCTCTATAAATAGAGTCATATCACCCCTTTTTCAATCATCAACAAGCTTGATCATAAAATAATTCTGTTCTCCCTCTTTAGCCTAAATACTAGCCATCCTATTTTCTCAAAATACTTTCCCTAATTAAGCACTCCAAGGAGCTCATACAATACCCAAAGTTTTATACTTAAACCAAGGCGTGAAAGGTATAATTGACTGAGGGTTTGGACCAAATCAAATCTAATTTAATTTAATTTTAATTTGATTTATATTTTTATTGAAGTTACTAACAGTTTATTCATGATGTAGCAATTTAAAGGAACATGCAGAATGTGAGTAATTAATTAATTTAATTACTCTTATTTTATTTTAATATTGCTAGCATCATGATTAGGTTATTTTATATTTAATTTGACTAACGCTATTATTGTTAAATTGCTTCCAATAATAATGTTTATTCTATTGTTATTATGATCACCATATTGCATATTAAAGGGAATATGTAATTGAAAATCACGCCTAATAAGATAATTTGGACAACCGGTTTAGGATCCTTTTTAATCTTGTTTTTAATTAAAGTGATTACAAATATTTTAGAATTATATGTTGCATTGTTATTCAACAAATTTAGCTTAATAATAGTTTGGAGCAAATTGAATATTTTGTTTGTATGCCTTTGAGATCGCAGGAATCACTTCTCACTATAAGAATCGAGTAGAGGCCAATACGGGCGAATGTGACTCCATGACTCACTTCGTACCATCATCCCCGATCCTCCTTTCGTGGTTCCGAACCATATGGAGTTAGTAATCTCATGGATTATGAATGGGGTGTAACCTTCACGGGTCAATCGTTGTTGCCTTTCATTGTCCCTTATCGTAGTTGCCTTTTTATGATCCGTGAACGATTTACAAGTTCCTTAAAAACTTGTTGGCGGCTCCCTACTTTCCTTGTCCCTAATCGTATTATGTCAATTCTCACTTCCTATGAGTGCCAAGCATAATCACCACATGCTTTAACGTAGGCGCACTTCAAGCGACGCCTACAATTTGGCGACTCCACTGGGGAGAATTCTTGGTTATTTATCAATTTGAGTGATCGGTATTTAATTGAGATGAGTGGATGAGACTTGAAAGATTCTTGAAAAATATTCCTGTGATTTAATTGGCATGTCACATATGCATATGAATTTTAGCTTACCTATTTTGCCACAATAGTACGTGTTCTACGTATGTGGCTAGCCCGGGGGATTTATGCTCTATCAACCCGAAAATGCTCATGGCAATAAGGGTTCATCCGAGTTTTTAAATCCACCCAAACCATGGAGTCGAGTTCGATTTCATCACGAACTCGCGGAGCCACCCGTTGGCATACACCCTCAAGGGAGGCTGCCTTGCTAACGCGTCCAAACTCTTAACCATGGTACCCTTGACACCCAAAAGCTTGACCGTAGTCGAACATAGAACTTGACTTTAGGTTGCGAACTTCATTGCATCATGCGTGACTATATGCTTATGTGTGCATTTTTTTATGGACATTTTTTGTAATTATTTTTTTTTCTCTTATCAAACCCTTTTTATTATTATTAGAGTCGAGCCATAGATTTTGTTTTTAATTTTTGAGTCACCCGGATTTTAATTCCCGTATACTGCACAAGAGTCAACTTGTTTTGATCATAGCCGGAGTTCTAGAAAGAGTTACGTGTTGTGCAAACTATGGATCTGTAGCCCCGGGTTTTATCTTTCATTTGGCGTTGGTTTCGTTCAAATCAAAGTCACAGATCAAAAGTTTTAACTGATTTACTACAACCTGTCCAGTTTAGGTGTCTTCTTAGCGTCAACCTTTTTTTTAAATTTTTTTTTCATGTCAAGCTAGTCCTTGAATCCATATCAACTCGTATAAAATAGGATTATAGATTTTTTATTTATTTTTTATTTTTTTTATACCCATGAGTCTTAACTCTTCTAGAATTCTAGTCCTCTTCCTAGTTTCTTGTGATCGATTTTTGTGCTAACCTTAACATGTGTTCTTTGTCTTTGATTGTGGTTGATCTTATTTATGACTAACGATTGTCAATGGACTGTTTTCACCTAGTAAATAGCATAAACATTAAAATTGGACAAAGTTAATCAAGTTAGTTTGTCTTTTAGTCTTCCGTGCTATTTGGTCATTAGGTCCTTTGTTTTTCACAACGTCCTCATGTCTAGCCATACGATCATACCACGAGTCTTATAACATCACTTAGTCACTCACGAGTTAAGTATAGTACACACACTTTCTTTATGTTCCGACTCGAGTCGTGCACCAGGTTTATGATCGTATACTAGGTTCATGCACCCTTTTTTCGTCATAATAAAAAAAATGAGTGGAGTTTTCTCACCTGTTTTGCAAATGTCTATTTTTTTTCCTTCCTTTCCTATCTTGAGCAATGAGTCAAACAATTAAGTGAATTATTTTATTTCACAGTACTTGGTCAAGGAACAGGGATAAATTAATACGGTTCGAGTCATTATCGCAACAATATATCAGATCTAATAGGCGTTCAAAGAGAACTTTGCCATCTCCACATTACTTATCACCTTTCAATGGCCACTAAAGAAGACATTGATAACATCAACAAATCCATCGAGGCACTGTCTTCCATGATGCAAACCCTTACCACTAGGGTCACTACCATGGAACAAAACAAGGTCACTGTTTCCACCCTTGACAAACTGAAGGAACAAATGAGTAAGATTTCTGAGGATTTCACTTATGTGGAACGGCCTCCCACTCCTTTGGATGTGAAGGACAGACTCCCTGAAAAGTTCTCCACTGCTGATATTCCAAAGTTCAAGCCTACTGACAATCCAATATTCCATTTGAAGGCGTTCTCTACAACCATGGCTCTTAAGGGATTGGACGTAACACTCTTCCCTACGGTGTTCCCTCTCTCCTTAGAACATGCTTGCAAACAATGGTTTTATTCCTTAGTTTCCAAGCATACTGCGACTTGGCAAGATGTCACCGACAGTTTCATGAATTGTTACAAGTGTAACATTCAAACCAAACTTTCTGAACGTGAACTCTCTATTCTCAAACAGAAAGAGAATGAAGGCTTCACCGCTTACCTAAACAGGTGGAGGGAAATAACTTCACTCTTGGTAGATCCTCCCAAAGAAAGAGATATGGTTCACCTCTTTATTCAAAATCTGACTCATAAATATGGGGAACATCTCAAATTTCTTCCACTGAACACTTTCGAAGCTGTATACGACATCGGCATCTATATCGAGGATGAGCTAATAAAGACTGCTGGTAGTAACAATAATAACACTTGGAAAACAAGAAGAACGAACATCCTTCTTCTTCGTCTTCTAAGCACGAAAATACTACCAACAATATAAGCCAAGTTGATACCAATGAAGTGTTAGCTCTTGATGCTCCATTGCCCAAGAAGAAAAGAACTTACACTCCTTTAGGAATGACTTATGATGCGGTCTTTGATCGCCTTTACGGTCAAGGCTTGATCACACCTATTGGGCCATTTCTAGAGCCAAAACCTGAAGAAAGGAGCGCCAAATGGAATCCCATTGCCCATTGCAAGTACCATCAAGGAAGGGGCCACACTACAGAGCAATGTTGGAATTTGAAGGACGTCATTCAAGACTTGATGGATGCAAACAAACATCCTGTCCCTCCAGGAGGCAAGAAGTAATGAATACAAGGCGCACAGATCCTTCATGCAAGATTTCATAATTTCTTTCTTTATCATTCATCTCCATTCC